ACATTTATTATCTCTTTAAAATTCATATTGGCACTTGGCTAACTCAACAGCAGTGATGTCGATAATAATTAGATTGTGCCAAAATATAATAAGTATTCATTGAGGCAGGAAGTAATTAAATTTATTACCTCTTAAAATGCCTACAGGTAACAAGATAATAGGATTAAGTTTATAAAGAAATAAACAGGGCATCCTAAATACATATAATTTTTCTACTGATATGTAAGAGAAAAGTGTTTTAAATGCTTATAAGTAAACAAAAATTACATATGCATATATTCAAATATTCATCTTTTATATGTAAAATATATTTTGTATAATATATTGCCATATATATTATACATATATACAAATATATATGTATACATGTACACATATATACAAACATATGTTATACAATACACATGTACACAAATATATATGTGTGTATAATATATATGTATATGTATGTATTTTCCTGTTAATGTACCTAGGAAAGCCACAAACCATGTCCTAAGTGCTAAAGCCCCTGACACACATGTAGGAAACCTGGATGGAATTCTTCATTCCTGCTTTTTACTGTTCCAGCTCTGGCTATTGTGATCATCTGAGAAGTGAGTAAATGCCTGGAAAATGCACTCCTCTCTCTCCTCTCTCTCTCTGCCTATTCCTCTTCTCTCTCTCTCACCTAATCCCTGTACCTTTTCCTGTCTGTTTCTCTCTCAAATAAACGAAAATGTTTTAGAAGTTTCAATTTAATCTTTCAACAAATAGTTTTACTAGTACTGTAACAGGTACTGCTTTCATAAATGGAGGCTCTTAAGATAAGCAACACTGATTCTTTTTGCAAAGACATTTTATAAGATAATATAGGAGATACCTATGAAAGTAAGTAATTATAAGCCAATGAGACCGTCGTATACACCACTGTAATAGCACAAAGCATGAAGTGGAAGGGCTGCAATAGCTTGATCTGTGGCAAAGAAAAGATGCATCATGTCTGAAAAGATTTCATAAGAGAAATACTTGCTGAATTTCAAGTTTGAAAAGGATTTTTTCTTTTTTTGTGAAAAGAAAGACAATAAAGAGAATCAGTGTTACTGAAGAACATAGGTGCAATATTGTTAAAAAAAATACTAGCTAATCAAATCCAACAACACATTAGAAAAAATTCAGTTGATCAAGTGGGATTTATCTATGGTATGCATGGATGGTTCAACACACATCAAGTAAAAAATGTGATTTATCACATTAATAGACTAATAGAAACCATATGATTGCCTTTAAAGATTAACAGAAAGCGTCAGATAATATACAACAACTTTTACCAAAATTTTAAGCAAACTGGTTATACAATAAACATTCCTCAACATAATCAAGGCAACATATGAAAAACCCATGGCCAGTACCATACTGAATAGAGAAATGCTAGAAGCATTGCCACCAACACTGGGAAGCATACATGGATGCCTACTCTCACCACTGCTGTTCAATACGGTCAGGACATTGCAGCCACAGCCATTAAGCAATAAAGAAGAAATCAGAAGGATACAAATTAAAAACAACAAAGTCAAGCTATCCCTGTTTGCAGATAGCATGATTCTCTGTATGTTAGAACTGATAAGAGAGTTTCCTAAAACTGCAGAACATAAAATCAATACACAAAAATCAACTTCATATACACAAACACAATAGATGAGAAACAAAGTGAAATCAGTCCTATTCACAATAGATGTAATAAGTTTAAATACTTTTGAACAAACTTAGCCAAGGATTTGAGAGCTCTCTAAGGCAAACATTATAAAACATTAAAGAATACAACAGAAGATGACACGAGAACCTGGAGAAATCTGCAATGTTTGTGGACTGGCTGAATTAGTATCAAAATGTACTAAAAGCAATTTGTGACTCAATGTGATCTCAATGAAAACAGCTATGACATTCTTCTGAGAACTAGAAAAAATGCTAAAAATACATATGAAAACATAGGAGACAACAAAAACAAAATGGAATGTACCAAAATGCCAAACTTCAAGACAAACTAAGGAAACTGTAATCAAAACAGTCTGGGACTGACAGAGAAACAGACACGAAGATTAATGGAACATAACATATGTTCCAGAAAAGAACCACACATCTATAACCAACAAATTTTTGACAAGTAAGCTAAAATCAACTGAAGGAGCAAGGACAGTCTCTCTAACAAATAGAACTGAGGAAACTGGATGTAGGTGTGCAAAAGAAGAAACAAGACCTCTTCCTTATACCTTATTCAAAAACAACTCTAAATGGATTAAGGGTTTAAATCTATGACTTGATACCATCAAATCACTGCAGGAAAACTCTGCAGGACATAGCCACAGGCAAGGAAAACTCTGCAAGGAAAAGAGTCATAAAAGTGAACAATGCGAGAAAAGATTTTCAAATTATGCAACTGATAGAGGGTTAATATCTAGGATCTATAAAGAACTCAAGAAACTCAACAACAATGTATAATCAATTTACAAAATGGATAAAGGTCATGAAAAGTCAATTTTCAAAGGAAGAAATACAAATGGCTGACAGACACATGAAAAAATTCTTGGGACCACCAACCATCAGGGAAATGCAAATAAAAACCATAGTGTAACAGTGAGATTTCCCTTCATCACAGACAGAATGGCTCTCACCCAAAACACACACATACACACACACACTTGCTGCAAAGAATGTGAGAAAAAAGATATCCCAGTGCAATATTGTAGGGAATGTAAATAGTAGAACCATTATGGAGTTAAGGAAGACAGTTTGGAGATTCCTCATAGATCTGAAAATAGATCTCCTATGTGACCCAGAGAGTTCACTCCTAGGAATCTATGCAAATGAAATGAAACCAGCATACAATGGAGTTACTTATACACTGATGCTTTTTGCAGCTTACTTCACTGTAGCTAAGATACAGAATCAACCTAGATGTTCATCGAAATTATGTATATATTATACACACACACACACATCTTGGAATATCACTCAGCCATAAAAAAAATGAAATCCTTTATGCTACAACAAAATGTATGCAAATGAAAACCATTATGTTTACTGAAATAAGCCAGTCCCCCAAACAGAAATATCATGTGTATCCAGGTCTGTGGTAACTAACACATACAGTATAAAAAATGAAATCTATATGAATCAGACTGACATTTTAAGATTTATTTACTGTTCATAGATTTTGTCTACACTTTCAGGAATAGGTTTTCCTTCTAATTGTTATGTGCTTAAATTTTTGCCTAAAGGACTGTTAAGCCTATGGTTGCAAGGTGCAATGAAAGTATGTCATTGCAAAACGTAAAAAAAAATCAAAGGAGGTAGGAGGAGGGTAGGTGGGAAATGCGAGCGGGGGGGGGGGGGGGAGGAGGGTAGGGTGGTAAATATCACTATGTTCCAAAATTGTTTTTGTGAAATATGTGAATTCTCCTCACTTTATGACAAAAAAGGTAAAACGAAAAATATATAGGGCCACCATAATTATATCAGCAATAACAGCACTCATAAATAAATAGTAGCATTTATTTATTATTTCTATGCTCCTGGTATTTAGATTTTCATTTTAACTTTGACAAGATTTCATTTCTGATATAAGGAAAATACTATCAGAAAGCTTAATTGCCCCCAAACCATCGAGACTTACAGTGGGATCCAAGAGTAACCCTGACAGCCTCTCAACAGGAGGTCATACACACAGAGCAGGAAGGGATCCCAGAGCAGAACGGAGGATAAGAGGAGGTCTGTATCCTAATCCCAAAAACCCCCGGAAGCCTCCCAAGTGCTTCTCCTCAGAAGCAGTGGATACTTCATCAAGGATTGTCAGCATGGAAACCAAGGACCAGATCCCGACTGCAAAGGAGATCATAGGGAATCTGAGTAGCCTCCTAGGCAGAGAACTCTGAGGTCAGTGATTTCCAACTGGATCTACAACAGGGGATTGAAGTAGCCCGGAACCCTTCTCATAGGGTCTGGTGACATTGGAACAATAGCCGGGAGCCCTGGGTGGTCCTCAGAGAAAAAAGAATTGTAAATTTCCTTCTGGAGCTTTCTCTAGTCCTTACTTAATTCCAACTTTGGCTCCCCATCCTCTCTTGCACTGACCATCAGGGTTGCTCAGGAGCCCCCAATTAGCTCAGACAGAGACTAATATAGAAAGCTTTCAACAGACAGGAAAAAGTCAACTGGCCTGTAATTGCTCAGCCTGTACCTTACTGGTCAGGTTCCCAATTTGGCTTTTCCTAGACTTTACTGGGTAGAATCCAGAGTTCAGGTATTTCTCACTTGCTAAGTTATTGGGGATATCTCTGCTCACCGACCTAAGACTGTTCCACTCCTCGATTGTTAATGTATGGCTTGTGAGAGTTTAAAGTCTGCTTTGACTATCCTAAAATGCACAAAGTTCTATAAAATATTGCTTGAATGCTATAAACTGCTAAGTTTAAATTAAAAAAAAAAAGAAAAACCTTAACTGTCCAAAACTATATAACAAATAGTAAAACTTAGGATTTGTAGTGTTTGATTCAGAAGTCTACTACTTCAAAGAAGCGGTTCAGAAAATAAGAAGACTGAATGGTCAGTCAGTCTTTCTAATTGAATTCTGAACTCTGATGGAGGGGCAATTTGGGTGTTAAACATGGAAATGAAATTAATGAAAAAGATTTTTTAATCCTTTAACCATACTACTACTCATATTAAGTTTATTCCACACCAAAGCATTTCATATGCACTTTGAGAGAGAGACAAACAGCATTTTCTTATTTTCTTAAATTAGCATAAAAGCATTTACCCTGGGTTGAGAGCTAATATTAGGTAATTAGAAAACTATCATAATTCTTTGTGGATTGAAGAGACTAAATTTTCGATCACTTTCATGAGTTTTAGTGATCTATCATTACTATATTTCATTGAATAAAAATCATCAATCTAATCAAATATTGGTTACTTTTGACTTAAGTACCTCTTCCCTGTAAAAAGAGAAGCAGACATTTGCTTACCTTGGATTACATGAGAGTTGTCTTTCAAGAAGAAGTTGTACAGGTATTTGGGAATAAAAGCAGACATACATGCATAAGCCAAAGCTAAGAAAAAGAAAGGGGCAAAAATCACCAAGAATTAGTGAATAACATGACTGACCAGCATCATTCACTAAGTACACATTCCTAAAGTCAAAATCTAAGGGGAAAAGTTCACTGTGTTCTAAAACAGAAAACAGGAACATAAAATAATCCTTTTTGAACATTTTGAACACAAACAAATGTCAAATTCTTTAAGTGATGGGCATGTCAGTGAACTTGATATGATCAATTTAACCTCATATGCATGTATAAGAGACCCTGATAAATATGTACAATTAATATCTGTCAAACATAAAACATGTATTTGTTAAAAAGTAATGTTTTTTTTCTAGAATTTCAAATTACTGTGGTAATCTCTATCCTACAACTATAACTATGTACATTTTTAATTCTCTAAACATGATTACCATGACAAATAAATTATATAACCCTCCTAATCCTTAATTACTGCTGATACAAACAATGGTCTGAAAAATTTGGATTTAAGATCACTAGATTTAACCTGTTATTTCAAATACAGAATCTTATTACTCTTGGATCAAGAGTAGTGATGACTGGTTATGTCTAATTATCACAGCAAAAACTTGTTTAGACTAATCAATCAGTGAGGGTATCAGAAAATGCACATTTTAAAACTATTTTTTTTTAAGATTTATTTACTTTTGCTTTTTATTTCAAAGACACCTTTCATAGACAGGAGAGAATTAGAGCGGTCTTCCATCCACTGGTTCACTCCTCACATGGCTACAACAGCTGAAGCTGAGCAAATGTGCAGTCACAAGCCAGGAGCTTCCTCCTGATCTCCCACATGATGGCAGCGACCCAAGAACTTAATCCATCCTCTACTGCTTTCCCAGTTCATATCCAGGGAGATGATTCAGAAGTAGAGCAGTCGGGACTGGTACCCAAATGAAATGTCACAGCAACGTGACAGGCCACCAGGCAGGATCCAATAAGTACATTGAAAAATCCATTCAAATAACAAGATTTAATTTATTTGAGATTATGGTATCTAAATTCAATTGCACAATTCTAACGATACAGAATTTTAAATAAATGGAGATTCTGAGATTAGGTATCCAGAAATTCATGTCAGTATATGAAAACAGGTTCTCTACATGTCACAGAAGTAGGAATTTGGGATTAGAATCAATAAACTTTAACAAGTAGATCATTTTAAAATCTAGTACAAAAAAGGTACTATAGAAAATGGACAGAAAAAAAATTTAAACGCTGTCCAAAAAAAAAAAAAGACAAAAATTATTACTGTATAAATAACTAGAATGTATAACAGACACAAGACAAATTTCCCGAAACACAAAGTTCAGTGTAAGTTCAGGGAAAAGAACAAAATAACAAAAAACTTTTCACACAGAGCAGGTATTTCAAAGATAGACATCGAAGAAGCAAAATGGAGAGGGAAACAGAGCCCATAGCAACTTCTTTGAAAGTAAACTTCGAGGGCCCCGGCAGCCATGGAGCGTAGTGGAAACTTCCCCCACGTGGGTCAGGTGGCTGCCTGGGTGGGTCTTGGCTGCCATGGAGGGTAGGGGAAAGAGGAACCTTGCCCCACTCCCACCCCAAATGCAACAGCTGCTAGGGACCTGGGTTCCAATGGCACTGGGTGAAACTCTTGGGCCACCAGCAGCACACTCGGAACGTGGGATCGTATATTTTCAGGGAGACTGGGGATTGCACAGGTGAAGGTGAGTGGTGGATTAATGCCCAGGTGAGGAATTGCTATTGAGGGACATCGCTGGATAAGGGCATTATATGCAGGTGAGGAACGACTCCTGAGGGACTCCCAACTACAAGGCCATTGTACTTGCGGGTAAGTCAGAAGACTAACAAGTGGTGTTTTGGAAGTGAGAGATCGGAAAACCTATATGGGTCAGACCAATGCACCAGCCCACGTGGGAATTCTAAACTAGGCTTGTTAGCATGGAACATTGCTGACCACCACATGCTAGCCCACACAAAGCTATGGCTGGGGCCTGTCTGGCAGGGCTAGATCCCAGTACCTGTTAGTGTCAGAACAGGGGACAGGTCAGATTAGCCTGGGCCATGACACTAACCAGCACACAAGCAAACCAGGTTATGAGGTAGACTCTGGGGGATATGTGGCCTAACACTGTTGAACTACAAATCTGATGGTTAGCTTAAGAGTTGGGGTGGTGGGGCCCGGCACCATAGCCTAGCAGCTAAAGTCCTCACCTTGAACATGCCAGGATCCCATATGGGCGCTGGTTCTAATCCCAGCAGCCCCACTTTCCATCCAGCTCCCTGCTTGTAGCCTGGGAAAGCAGTCGAGGATGGCCCAAAGCCTTGGGACCCTGCAGCCACATGGGAGACCTAGAGGAAGTTCCTGGCTCCTGGCTTCGGATTGGTACAACACCAGCCATTGCAGTCACTTGGGGAGTAAATCATTATATTAAAGGTTTTCTCTGTTTCTCCTACTCTCTGTATATCTGACTTTGCAATAAAAATAAAATACATCTTAAAACCAAAAAAAGTGTTCAGGTGGTGATGGGATGAGCTAGGCGTGACCATGAAACCCACCAACACTCACGGGTACTGGAGCTTGGAATAGGTTGGGCAGGTCCAGGCTGTAGCACCCACATGCACATCCTACAACAGGGTGTGGAGTGGGCCAAGCTGCAACATCCACCAGGTCATACAAAGGCTGGGAGGAAGGGGTAGGCTGTGCCAGGTAGGGACCTGCCACCTGCTGGCATGTTTAAGATTTGGGATTGGAGGTGAGCCAAGTGGGGCAACCTGGGCAACTCCAATAGTGGGTCATAGCTCCCAATGGTGAGCACATGGTCCAGGCCTGGGTTTTGGGCAGGCTGGACAAGGTAGCTCCATTTATTGGCAAGTGTATGGGTTGGTTTTGCAAGGGAGTGGATTGGATAGGACTGAGCAGACCTTAGCCTAGTGGTTAAGAGCAGAAACCAGGATGGAGTGCAGATCATGCCAGGTTAGGCTATCACACCTGCCAGTTTGCATGAGCCAAGTATGGGAGCAGACTGAGCAGGGCCAGGTTCCAACACCCACCAGCAAGAGTTGGGACTGGGGGTAGGCCAGGTCAGGCCAGGCTGCAGCACCCAAAGGCAAAGTCTAAGATGGGTGAAGGACAGTTCCAAGCTGGGTCAGAGCAACCACCAGCATGCACAAAATCTGTGACTAGAAATAGGCCTGGTTGGGGAGCTAAGGGGACACCCTGGCAAGACTGTGGTTCCCATGGGTGAGCATGAGGGCCAATGTAGGGGCTGAGGTCTGGTTGGGACATAGCAGCAGTCTCTCTTGGCATGGGTGTGGACTGGGTCTTGGATGTGCCAGACTGGGCTAGACTCCAGCACCCACTGGTGCTTGCTGAGAACAAGGATGAGTGTAGGATGGGCTGGGCTAGCGTGATCTGTGTGTGGGTGTGGACCAGGCTTGTCTGGTCTGTAGTGCCCAACAGTAAGAACCAGAATGGCGAGGGCCAGTCGGAAAGGATACTATTCCCACTAGGACAGGAGGTAGACTAAGCAGAGCTGGGCCATGGACCCACCAGTGTGTGTGAGATCAGATCTGGCATTGGGAAAGGTTGTGATGGAGGAGCTTAACAACTCCTCTCCAGGGACACAGTCCCTGCAGGTGAGCACAAGAACCACCACAGGGAACAGCCTAGACCATTCTGTCCTTCCCTCTGTAAATCTTTCTGATAAAAAAAATCTAGAAAAAAAGTGTACTTGAACTAAAACCAATCTTTAGAAAATTTAACATTATCACCAGTGTAGATAAATGCATTTAGAATAGTCAATCCAGATCCCACTAAATCTCTAATTGCATCCTGATCACAACCACCTCTCTAATAATAACAGTGATAATAATAAATCTTCATATCTTCTAAGATTTATCAAGCAGATTATTTCGTAAAATTTATAGCATTTACAAGGGAGAGAGCAAGAATCTTAAAGTAGTAACAGAAATCTTGGTTTGATTCAAACATTTTAGGAAAATATAAACTATAATTATTCAGATGACAGAGAGACTTACCTTCATTATTGAAATTTAGATACAGGAATGGAGCACAAAGTGAATCAAGACCTGATGCAGAAAGGATGAGAAAAAGGGGTCAAATTAATATAATCCAGCCAAACTACATAGTTATCTGATTCAGTTCTTTACATTACATTACTTCCAGATTTAGATTATGCATTTTATCTACTCCATAATGTGCAGAAATGTTTTTAAAACTTCGTGGAAGGGCCCGGTGCGATGGCTCAGTGGTTAAGGTCCTCGCCTTACATGCCTGGGATCCCATATGGGCACCAGTTCTAATCCCAGCGGCCCTGCTTCCCTTCCAGCTCCCTGCCTGTGGCCCGGGAAAGCAATCGAGGACAGCCCAGAGCCTTGGGACCCTGCTCCCGCATGGGAGACCCGGAAGAGGCTCCTGGCTTTGGATCGGCATAGCATTGGCCGTTGTGCTCTCTTAGGGAGTGAATCATCGGATGGAAGATCTTCCTCTCTGTCTCTCCTCTCTGTATATCTGCCTTTCCAATGAAAATAAAATAAATCTTTAAAAAAAAACTTCGTGGAAAATGAATTTAAAAGAGAATTTAATAAGAATTTAATAAGTTTATTTTTGATGCAAAAAACCTGAAATCTATACAAAAGCTTTTCATAATATGCATTTTGCAGGAGCTCTTTACAGAACTCATATAGAATTTTATGAGTTACAGTAAAGGGTAAGTTACATTGCCTGCTAGGTACTAAATGTCCAATACAAATCAGTTATATGATTATGATGTCAACAGAAATATATTTTGATGAGAAAATGTATCTGGTCCTAATCATTTCAAGTTGGCAGTTACTTATTTTACTGTATATTTTCTCATGTAAGACAAGAAGACTTGCTTTATACATCCTTTTCCCTTTGGGATTATTAAATATTTTGAAAATTGTTAACTGACATAAAAATACATTATTTTATTGATAATGTTGTTCATGTCTTTGCAAAGAATTTACATAAATATCCCCAAACTGTTTCTAGATATAGATTGTCTCAAAAAAAAAAAAAACCCAACAGAACTTTAAAAAATGTTTCATGTTAGCTATGGCCAGAAATAGAAAGTTGAAATATAAAAATAATTGCTCATAAAAACACATTAACATATTGGTGGAATGGACTTTGTATTTTTCAATTGTTTCATGATCACAAAAACAATGGCAAAAGGATAAATAGGGTATTGAAGAAATAAGAAGAAAAAAAGCAATTCAAGCTGATAGCCTATCGTTTAATTTCTAGTAACAATAAGCACAAATTATTAACCATTAATAAGAATCTTGATTAAACAAAATGAATTATGATATAAAATTACATTGCTATTTGAATAGTAATTACTTAGAGACTACAAGAATGGGAATGAGTGTTAGAAGTTGGACAATGAGCACCACAATGAGTTAGAAAAAAGGAATAAATCTCACTGTTGCACAGTATGGTAGAATGATTATAATCCACGAAATTTATTAAATGTTCTATAAAGAACCAGAGGAGGAAATCAGTAGGTTTCAAATATAAAGAAGTGAGTGTTTAAAGAAATGCTAATACTATTGACGGGACTTTGATTAAATATGCATACATGCATACAATTTTCATTCTGCATTTGTTACATATAAAAATTTATTTTAAATGTGGAGTCACAAAAATTATTTTAAAAGTATTAGTAAATGTATTCACAAACATTAAAACATCAAAGATATTCTTCCAATAGTGCTAATCATCATGATGGCAAACTGTTTTGTTTTAAACTTTTTAGTGTATCATGATATTGTGGGTACAGACAATGGTAGCCAGAATATCCTATTGTCAAGGTATATTTAACGGTTTCATTGGGCATACTCCTCACATTCAGGAGTAGAGATGCATTCTGCAACATATCTTCACTTCCCAGTATCCATTATATAGTTCAACTAGGAGAACATATGCATGAGAATACATGTTAACCTATGTATCTACTGCTTTCTTATTTTTTAAAATATTTGTCTACTTTGATTGGAAAGGCAGATCTACAGAAAGAGAGAGAGAAAGAGAGAAGGGTATTCTATCTGCTGGACCACTACCTAGAGGCTGCAGTTGTTGGAGCTGAGCTAATCAGAAGCCAAGAGCCAGTAGCCTCTTTTGGGTCTCAGGTGCAGGGTCCCAAAGCTTGGGCCATCCTCTACTGCTTTCTCAGACCACAAGAAGGAAGAGAGATGGGAAGGGCAGCAGCTGGGACAAATTCAGCGCCAACATGGGATCCTGGCAAATGCAAGACGAGGATTTAGCCACTGGGTCATCACGCAAGACCCTGAACTTTTATTTTGCAGGAAGATTGTGTTCTATCAGAGAGAACATATGGTACTTGTCCTTTTGGGATGAGCATATTACACTTGTATCTCTAATTGGGACCATTTTGTTGCAAATGGTAGAATTTCATCTTTTAATGGCCAAGCAGTATTTCACAGAGTAGATCTGCCACAGCTTCTTCATCCATTCCTCTTTCAAAGGGCGTCTGGGTTGTTCACATGTCTTCACTGTTATGGATTGTACTGCTATAAATGTAGGGTTGTAGGTCATTTTTTCATATGCCCAGATTTTGCTTCCTTTGTACATAGTCCTAGTCCAGGAACACAGTAAATTTCCCTATCTGTTAATGTCTTCTATTTCCTTTTTCATTGTTTTGTAATTTTCATTATAGAGGTTTTCCACACCATTGATTAGATTTATTTTATGGTGTTTAAGATTCTTCCCCTCTATTTAACAGAACTTAATGACAAGCTCTTTCTCAGGCATGGAGTTATTTTTGCAAACTAGAGACATCAATTTATGTTTATTAATTTTGCACCTTGTCATCCTGCAACATTATAGCAGTTTCTTGATTGACTGTTTTGGTTCCCCTTTTAGAGAATCATATCATCTGCTAACTGGGATGTTTTCTAAAGAGATTTATTTATTTTTATTGCAAAGTCAGATATACAGAGAGTAGGAGAGACAGAGAGGAAGGTCTTATGTCCCTTGGTTCACTCGCCAAGTGGCCTCAATGGCAAGAACTGAGCCAATCTGAAGCCAGGAGCCTGGAGCCTCTTCCAGGTCTCGCACGTGGGTGCAGGGTACCAAGGCTTTGGGCTGGCCTCAACTGCTTTCCCAGACCACAAGCAGGGAGCCACATGGGAAGTGGAACTGCCAGGATTAGAACCGGAGCCCATATGGGATCCTGGCGCATACAAGGCAATGATGTTAGCTACTAGACTACCGTGCAGAGCCCTAACAGGGATAATTTTAATATCTTGTTTCCAATTGAATTCATTCAATTTATTTTTCTGGCCTAAAAGCTCTAGTGAGGACTTACAATAGTATGCTGAATAGCAGTGATGAAGGTGGACATTCTTAACTAGTTACAAATCTTAGTGGAAAAGTGTCCAGTCTTTCCCCTTTAGTATGATGCTTCTATTGGGTTTTATGTAAATTGCTTTGTTTCTGTTGCAAAATATTCCTTCTAAGCCTATCTTGCTTAAGATTTTAGCATCAAGTAGTGTTAGCTTATTATCAAATGCCTGCTCTGAATTTATTGGGATTATCATATGGCTTTTATTTTTCAATTTGTTGATGTGGTGTGTCACATTTATTGACTTACATATGTTACATCATCCCTGCATGTTAGGGAGGAATCCTGCCTGGCCGAGGTGCATGACCTGGGTGATGCCCTGCTGAATTCTATTGGCTAGGATTTTGGTGAGGATTTCGTGTGTGTGTTCATTGTGTTCATCAGGGACATGGTCAGTAGTTCTCTTTCTCTGTTGGGTCCTCATCTGGCTTTGGTATTAAGGTGACAGTGGCTTTATTTTAAATGTAAACATTTGAATGATGTATAGGAGGCATTTATACAGGTCTTTTCCAAGGCTCTCATACAGATCTTTCAACAAATGAGTCAGAACTTTAATGCTGATTTTTCTTTAAGTGAAGCATGTTTCGATCTTGTTACAAACTTAAAAACTTTCAGTCATAAGGAAAAGCCTCAGAGCACAACAGGTTAATCCGTAGCTTCGCAATGGCAGCATCATATGAATGAGTCAGTGTAAGTCCCTGTGTTGTTTCCATCTGGCCCCTGTTAATGTGCCTGGGAAAGCAGTGCAATATGCACCAAATAATTGGGCTACTGCCATTTGTGTGAGACTCCTGTATGGAGTTTCTGGCTCTTGACTTTGTTCTGGTGCAGCTCTGGCTCCTGCAGTCATTTGGGTTATAAACCAGTGGTTGGAAAATCTTTCTCTCCCTTTCTCTTTGCCTTTTAAACAAATGTATCTTAAACAATACAAATATTATCATTCATATTTCAGGTTCCTAAAACTACAAGAATTCTTAACAAGTAAAAAAAAGTTACCTTGCCAGTATACAAGATCAGGATGTGACACTACCCAGGCTTTTAATACACGCCTAAATTTTGCATGACCTTCTGGTGATGATAACAGTTCATCATACTGATGACAGCGAGGAATATCCACTTCAATCTGTAAAACAGAAAAGCAACAAAGTACATCAGCTAAAAATCGCAGTGAGGTCCAATACACTCTTAATCTTTATTTCTACATAAGAAACAAAGAGGAGTGGCTATAAAATTGAATTTCTGAATAGATTCCTTGCATTATCCTATTGTCTAAAGTATTTGAAATATTTAACTTCCTGTTAGACAAATCAAGAAATTGTATACACATATGAACAGAAAAAACAGCATATAAAAGTTCTTTGAAAGTTCATGGAAAAAATATATATATTATTTAAGATTTATTTATTTTTATTGGCAAGTCAGATATTCAGATTGAAGAGGAGGCAGACAGAAAGATCTTTCTTCCACTGGTTCACTCCCCAAGTGGGTGGCTGCAATGGCCAGAGCAGAGCTGATCTAAAACCAGGTACTAGGTGTTTCTTCCTGGTCTCCCACATGGGTGCAGGGTCTCATGGCTTATGGCTCTCATTGACTGGTTTCCCAGGCCTCAAGTTGGAAGCTGGATGGGAAGTGGGGCAGCCAGAAATGAACTGGTACCCATTTAGGATACCGGCGGATGCAAGGCAAAGACTCTATTTAGCCACTAGGCTATTGCACCAGGCCCAGGAAAATACATATTCCTAAAAGAAAAGTAGGTATACATCTAAATAATTTCTTTCCACAAATTCCATTTCCACAGTTTTTAAAGCACCTTGTGTTAATACAATTTTCAACATCACCTTCTCTTTGCAATAAAGGGAAAATTCTTCGGTGAAGTATAGTCATTAAAAAAAATTTACTTGAAATGCTGTGCTACTTTGGTTTCGATGATCTGTGATTATTTTAACATTCAGTGTATACGGGTGAGACGGCCATGTTTCTATTGGGTTATTGTTTATATCCCCTGCCCATATGTCATACCAAAGTATAATGTTTTTGGCTTTTACTTTATATTTGGTGGAGCATGCAATCCTTGAGAAGAATGTAAATTCAGAATATGCTATCTCAAACTTGAAAAAAATAGAAAGGGGGGGAAGTAGGATGCGCAGGACAGAAACTAGAGGGGAAGGAGGAAGGGAATATCAATGTATTCTTTGAGCTCTATTTGTATGAACTCGGTATACGTACCGTGTGCTCACTGATTGCGCCACTGGAGCAAGCTTTTATTTGTAATAACTCTGTTAAAAACTAGAACAACTAACACTAAATTAAATTTAAAAATTTTTTAAAAGCCTAATTGAAGTGTTTTATGTGCTGTTCTAATTTATTACAGCTATGCTTAGTCTAAAAATGGCTGAGTATTCATGATGAAAGGAAGAAAACTTCCACACGCTTTTTCAAATTTAAACATTTTGGTAGAATTATTATAGGTTGCTGAAGGCAATCTAAATCATACCTGTCTATCTGTAGGAATTGGAGTGTCTTTATCAATTGCGTCATATTTGTCGTGTATAGCTCCCTGCAACAAAACAAAAGATACATTAATTCATTAATTTATCACATCCTTAATAAAACTGAAAACACTAGTTCAGAATCCCTTATCCAAAATGTTGAGATCAGAAATGCTTCATATTTCAATTTCTTTTTTATTTTTAGAAAGTCTGCATAGCATTTTCTGTTTATTTTTAAAGTTCTGATGCTGATTTATTTGGACTTTAGAATTTTCTATTAGGGCTGTTCAACCTGTAGAGGAAAATACATTTTTTAGAAGCATGTATCTTTAGAAACTAACTCCAGATTAAGGTTTCCAACCCATGTTATATCTCAGTTTCAGAGAAGTGTTCTACATTTCTGACAACCTCTGATGAAGGTCAGAGACAGGTTATGAGTCACTGTGCTGAGGCACAGTTTGATTTACGTAAGCCAGACGGACCAACGGGCTAGCATAACACTTTACAGACCTTTCCTCTGGACATTGCTATCTCTCAAGTAAGAACATGCACAGAGAAGCAAAATTATGGGAGCCTGGTGTCATCATAAAGAAAGGTTTTTGTTAACATTGGTAATGAGTGTAAAAGTGAAATCTATTCAAAGGAGAGGATAACACCAGAAAACAGAAGTTTGTGATAATTTAAACAGTGGATATGATATAATCATACAATCAGACAATAAAGGATTCACTAACTTTTTTTTCTGTTATATTGTTACAGCAGAAATAATGGAATAAATTATTCAAACTTTGTTTGTATTTTGTAGAACTAAACATAAAAATTATTTTTGTTTTACCATCATGGTAGAATAAAAACTAGAAATTTGGATTAAAAAAGCAGAATTCAACATCATACATACTTAGCTGTGTGTATGTGTTTTAAGATGTATTTGCTTATTTGAAAGGCAGAGTTAGAGAATGAAACAGAGGCAGAGAGACAGATCCAATGGTTCATTACTCCAGATGGTCTCAAAAGCTAGTGTTGGGTCAGGTGAGAGCCAGGAGGCAGAAATTTCCAAGCGGTCTCCCCCATGAGTGTAGAGTTCCAAGAACCTGGACCATCTCACACTGTTCTCACACACACATTAGCAGCAGCTAGGACTAGAACAGCACCCAGAAAAGATACCAGCGCTGTAGGCAGTGGTATATGATTGCCTCGTTGTAACTGAGTCTGTGTTTAATCTTTTAATTCACTAGTCTCAGTATCTACTTCCTTGGAATATGTATTTAATGAGAATTTTTATAACCTTTTACCAGAAGGCCTCTTGAAATTTAAACTTACATGATTTTTCAATTTGAATAACTATAGTATCAAAAATATGCTCTAATAATCAAATCTTCAATTTTTTCCCCCTTTTCTTCTTACCTCAACTCCTAGAAGAGCAGCCCAAGTTAACCCTCTCAACAGAGGAGGAATGTCAACTCTTGCTTCTTTCCAAATTTGATTTTTTTTATATGGATAAGCCTAGGATATGATATACAAGGTAAGAATATTTCTAATTTCCAAATATCACTTTTTATTATTAGAACCCTAAATATATCAGTGACAAAACCATCATCTACAATCAATTTCTAAGTATGGACAAGGACTAGTCCTGTTGGTACAAACACATAAAATTAAGCAGCTAAACTGCAAGCCACACCAAATACGCACAATATATTTAAAAAAAAGAGCTTATTCTACTTTTAAAAATAATAGCTATTTTGTGCTTTGGCTGGCTTATGAATGAGTAATATGGATGGCTATATTACCAGGTATTAAACAAGTAACACGTAAAGCACTTTGTAAAACCTGGTGATACGCAAGGGGTATTAAACTTATTCAAAGAAAACACATATTATCACAAAATACGCATGGATTTCAAAATTTTAACAAAATAAACATCTTCTAATTCCAAAGAAAAGTACCTTGTAGGAAGCATTATTATAGTTATCTCTGCATCTTGCACACATATTTATCTTTTTAACAAATTTATATTGTAGGAGAGATTTATAGAAGAGAATTATTACAACAAAAGATTTAGACATCAAATTTTGTATACTTTCACAGCATTTCACAATATGTTCCAATTTACAGTTATTGCAAAATAATCACAGTTCCAATATCAGGGTAACTATGCTCATTTTTTAATTTGATTAACAAAAACGCCTATTTCATTTATCATTTTAAAAGCTCGTAGTGAGGAAAAACAATGTGAGTAGATTTGCTAACTGCATTTATACTATTTACCTACCTCCATCTTCTTAAATCTTCTTTAAAAGAAAAAAAAGATTTGCTAACCATTTGACATAGTTGTGCATGTTATCATATTGTTTTTAATTTTTGATTTTATTTACCATAAATATGTCATTTTACAACAAGTAAAATTAATTGGAAAAAGATAATTTGTAAGTGCGCCTTTTCATGACATCCAGACCCCCTAAGAATTAACAAAACTTTAAAGCATTCGTTGTATTTAGCTTATTGTTAGCACTTCATGCCCGAGAAGCCCCACCTTCAGCAGCCTGTCAAAGAGAATGATTCTGTTCAGCTGGTACTCCGTGTCCCTCTCTCGGATAATTAAAGGCAGAGTGGCAGCTGCAGACAACTCATTATTGCTGTTTGAATGAGGTAAATTAGACTGGCTGTGAAAGAAGAACAAAAGCAATGTAACTGACAGGAAAGTACAACAATTTAATAGAACAGAGAATCACAATTTTATTTTCTCTTTAAGAAATACGTTACTGTAAAATGTCAAAAAAAATTTTTTTTTCAACATCTAAGACAAACTGAAAAGAAATACAAACTGAGACTATCTATACTTACTCATCTTCAAGTAACGGATAGAACGCCTCTCCACCAACATCTTTCAATCTCTGAATTTAAAAACAAAATGTTTATGTATTACTCTCTTAGGCAGACAAATGAGCTGTGATTGCAAGAAAAGTATTGTAAAAATTATGAATTTTAAAAAGGACTGAGAAAAGTGCAAAATAGAATCTAAAAAGTAATTAGGAATGCCTCCACTGATTGTTTAAGTATACAGAATACTTTCTCATTCTTTTTCCACCACTAGGTATCACGCATACATGTTAGACACTGATCATGGTACGTTCTAAAACACAACACAGAATTGCTAACATCAGTTTAGAATTTAGTGGACAGAATGTTTTAAATTTTATGAGGGAAGATTATTAAAGAAATATATATTTTTTACATGTACCCATTGCTTAAATAATGAAGTCAAATTTATTTTTAGTTTGACATAATACAAATTAAATCAAAAGTAAATGTGGGATTGAGTGGTGCTGAGCAACGAAGTCATCGCTAAGGATGCTCAATCATATTTCCAGTGCTTACGATGGAGGTGTGCCTCCACTCCAACCTACTAGATTCCTGTAATGCACCTGGGAGGCAGCGAGGTATCTGAAACTCTGTCCTGTCTCCTTGTAATTCATGCTCGTGGCTCTGGCCTTGCCCAGGATTGCCACTGTGGGAATCTGGGGAATAAACTAGTAGATTTCTCTTTTGTTCACTCTTATTCATTCTTTCTCTCCTTTCTTCCCTCCCTATTACTCTTCATTTCAAGGTAAAAAGATTCAAAGGAATTTTTCACATCATAGTTGGAAAATCCACAATTCAAGCAGCTCACAGAAATCAATGATTATTTCCCACAATAAGTGTGAAACAAGTGATGCCCCAAATAAAAACATTGCCAAAATTACAGTATCCTTCAAAACCAAAGTGGACAGACAGCAGTAATGCAAAATCTCAAGTATTTGGTGGCTTAGAGCATATGCAATCGTCCCTGATGCTCTGTTCTTAAATTTCCCATATGAAGGCAGATATCTTCTACATGTTCTGATAAACTGAAGATCTATCTTTAGCCAGCACCAACCTCTTGATTTGTACTTAGTACTGCGCTTCTATTGACAACCTACTGTGCATGCATGGGAATTATCTCTAGAATGTGAAGTCAAAAAAAGTATTTTTTCCAACCCTAAGAATTAACAGAACTAGGATTTATATCAGATTTTTCTCTAAAACTAATGTGTTATATAGTGTCTTATTTTGGTGCTAAACTATAGTAAACCATTCTTATATATAAATTTAAGAAAAGGCAATATTACTTTACAATAAAACATGATACCGGATAACTTAAATTCACAGGGAATTAAAAACTAAATACAAAAATATATTTTTAACTTAAAAACACAGGGCAATATTTAAAAAATAACCCTGACAAAATTTTCAAAAGGTTATAATAAGAAAAATTTATCAAAGGATCTATGTCTCGTCACAGGAGGTAAAGCCACCATTGCGGATGCCAGCATCTGATGTGGGAAGGCATCCTGCTAGCTCCCATATCACCTTGGAAGCTGATGACTGAAGGCCCAAGGACGGGGCTTTCTCCTGGACGTACAGGAGACCAGGGCAGAGCTCCTGGATCCTTACTTGACCAGGCCCAGCCTTGGTTGTTGCAGGCATTTGAGAAGGAATATCTATACATTTTAAAGAAAAAAAAAGTCCATAAGAAGATATTGACATGACATATTCTCCAAACGACAACCTGTTGGATATGTCCTTGAAATTTCTTAAATCAATAAAACATCACTCACGCAGACTGACAAATTCAAAAAGTAAAGATATTAAAAAAAGTTTAAAAATAGGAATATTCACAACTGTTCAAAAGTAAGAAACTACAATTAGTGTTATATGAAATTTCAATTCCATGATATTAAATCAAGAATTTTTAAAATTTGATACTACCAAGTGTTAATACATGAGAAATGAAAGCAATTACCCAATGATTGTGAAAAAATAAACTGATCCAGCTCTTTGATAGGACAACTTGTATTAAAGTGGAAATGACACATGCTATTTTCTAGTAATTCCACTCTAGCATATATTTTTAAAAGAATCATTTATTAAATAAAATCAGAGAGGAACATAAGGATTTGTGTTTCTTTGTAAGATTTATTTTAAAAAATCTGAGGCAACTTTAGCAAAATATAATTCTCACATTTCTTAGCTGGCATAATGACAATGTCACGGTGGTATCATCTAAAAGTGAGCTTCTATCTCGGCCTTGTCCAAAGCTTTCACCATCTTCAAAGAGAAAGCTGAAAAGTGATTTTAAAAATAATTGTTATACTGAACACAAGTATCCAATACAGCTTTCTAGAAATTGAAATCTATTCTTAACTGACACTTTTACATTTTCTAAATTTACTAAAACAATCAAATCTCATGAATTTCACAGATAGAATTCTAAGAATATTATGATATTTTCCTCCTTTCATTAAGAAAAGAAGTAAATTTTAGATGATTTGTTAATTTAAAAGTGTGACTTGGGGTCAAAACTTCTCCAAATAATTTAAAATTTCAGGTAACTTAATAGGTGTAAATGCAGCATAAAACTGTAACACATTCCAGAAATACAAGGATGCTATTTATAAATCTATTCATGCAGATTCAACACTAAAATTATTCCTCCCAAAATATCCAGATGTTCTCTTTAAAAAGTTGAAAAGCAAGGAAAAACACATTTGGTTGCAACTTTTGCAGAGAAAAGAATACTGGGATAACAAACATGAAATTTACTTAGATTTTTTGATTACGAATCTACATGTCCTTCAAATCACTGCTTGTCTGACTTTTCCAAAGTGGTATCTTTAGTTTTTTATTTAACTTAATGATGAGTGATATAACTAAAGTACTTAAAAATTAGTCTAAAGGGGAAAAAATAGAAGAAATTAATGGTTTATACAAATAATCTAAAAATTGAAGTGAAGAAAAGTATTATGGGCACACTATTTCTACACCTATTTGCATGATTAAATCTAAGCCCCAAGTTCTAAAATCAACTTTTTTAAAATTCATTGTTTTAATTTTATAAAATAGAGACTGAGATCTCCCCATTGCACGCTTACTCCCCAAATGGAGGAAAAAAAGAAAAAGGCTGCAACTATGCTAACACTGGAAGTTGGAATTCCATCCATGTCTTCCTCGTGAGTGACAGCAACCCAATGACTTGAGTCCTAACAAGCTTTCTCTCGGGATCTTCCCTGGCAGTTAGCTGAACTCAGAAAATTGAGCTGCGAATTGAATCCACCATGTACCATGATATAGCAAGCAGGCATCTTAACTGCTAAGCACCCACTCCTCTTGTTTCAAGAAGTTTTCCTTACTTGGGAAGTGTGCAGATAGGTGGCTTGGATCGAATGATCTCCTTGTTGACAAGCTCTTTTTCCAAATCACCTCCAGCCAAACACCAAAGGTAATAAACTTCTTCAATAGATCTTTCTGCCAGATAATCACTGTTTATATCTATTAATGGCAAATTGAAAAGAATCATAGCAGTTAAACTTTGCTTTCATTAAAATCCAAAAGCCAGTAACAGCTTGCATTCTATTAAAAACAAAAGTACGAAAATGAACAGACTTATTACTGGTTCTGGGTATAAGGAGTTTGAAGTTACCATTACCTCTGAACAAACAAAAAGCTAACCAGTCTTTGATCTGTAAGCAATCACCAAAATTGGAGAGACAGAAAAATACAGGAGCCATGGCAACCTACAGCAGAGCTTCACCAGCAGAAAATGTCTCAGGAATCAGTGCCTGGGCAGTAAAACTTAAAACAGAACTGACCAGTGGCTGACAGTTGAGGATGGACAAATGTGAGAGCTAACATCTGGGGAGGGATCCACTGTCCGGGGGACAACAACATTTCTGTGAGTTTTGTCTCTAGGTCTGTTGTCAGGAGAGACTAATTAAGGGAAAGTGTTGTGTGACCCTGGCAGACAGATAGCATGGGAAGTACTCAACTACAGACAGCTCCAGCCTTCTGTGTGGCTGGCGGGAGGCAGGGAGAAGGAAAGCATTGTCTACTCCAATGAGTAGGTCTCAATATTTTAATAAGCCTGTGTGTCTGGTCTGCTTTGCTCCCAAATACTTCCTGCCCTGAGGTAAGGGGATGCTTAGAACGGTCTGGAGTTGGACGTCTTTCTTTTACATGAACAGATGCCATGACTGGCAGATCCTGACTCGTCTTTTGCAGTAATTTAAATGTTCCTTGATAAAAACAATATTCTACTGAAAGTGGATTATATAACTCTCTTAAGTGAAATCAGATATCACATTGTTTGGTGCCCAAACCTGTCAATTCTAGACCCATTCCTGCATTCAAGAAAAAAGGTTGCAAACAGTTACAGTGTCTTTGCTGCCTAGGAAAACACTTTAATTTTGTGTTTTTGAAACTTTGATGTACAGCTTTTTTTTCACAACTGACTGACTCTATAGCCAACTCCAGTACACAGGCTGTAGTGAAAAAAGCTGGAAAACACAAAGTCTGGAATTCTTTACTCTTTATGTTGGTGATAAGAATTGGAATTCTTGCAGTTTATATTGGGAAAAGAACGGGGCAGGGAAAAAAAAGTAATTGGTTGACAACTGATACAAAGTGTCCCATCTTTCTAATTTCAAGGTAATGGCCAGCTTTGCTGAAAGGTTTATCTTGTTCTCATACCTAATTAGGTATTCCTTCTGCTATCCATCATTTTTTAAAATTGTTTCAGATTCTGAACTTTCAGGATAGGGATACTAACCCGTATTGTTTTGTAAAGATTTTATTTTAATTGCTAAGTCAGATATACAGAGAGGAGAAGATACAAAGGCAGATCTTCTGTCTGATGATTCACTCCCCAAGCAGCTACAATAGCCAGAGCTGTGCTGAAGAAGGGGCCAGGAGCCTCTTCCGGGTCTCCCACGTGGCTGCAGGGTCCCCAGGCTTTGGGCCATCCTTGACTGCTTTCCCAGGCCAAAAATGGGGATCTTAATGGGAAGCAGGGCCACTGGGATTAGAACCGGCACCCCTATGGGATCCCGGCGCATGCAAGGCGAGGATTTTAGATGCTAGGCTACAGCGCTGGGCCCACCTTTATCTTCATAGCATGCAGAACACAATGGTATGGAATTTCTATCAAAAATATGATTTTTTAGAGGAATGGATAATAAATTACATACAGTATCAGTAATCTAAGGTTAAAAGATTAAAGTCTTTGTTCAGCTGCACTTAAAGCAGTTTAGAATCATCTTCCATTTTCCAATGATTTATCCAGTAATTGTGTATTTAAAATAATTTTTTCCCATTTATTTATTTTTATTGGAAAGGCAGATATACAGAGAGGAGGAGAGACAGAGAGGAAGATCTTCTATCTGATGGTTCATCCCCCAAGTGGCCGCAACAGCTGAAGCTGTGCTGATCTGAAGCCGGGAGCAAGGAGCTCTTCCAGGTCTCCCATGCAGGTGCAGGGTCCCAAAGCTTTGGGCCATCCCCAACTGCTTTCCCATGCCACAAGCAGGGAGCTGGATGGGTAGTGGGGCTGCTGGGATTAGAACCAGTGCCCATATTGGATCCCAGTATGTTCAAGGCAAGGACTTTAAACGCTATGCTATCACATCGGTTCCCTTAATTTTTAAAGATTTATTTGAAAGAGCCACGTGTGTGTGTGTGTGTGTGTGTGTGTGTATCTATCTATCTATCTATCTATCTATCTATCTATCTATCTATCTATCAATCATCTTTCATCTGCTGGCTTACTTCCCAAATGGCTGCAATGGCCAGAGCTGGGTGGATCTGAAGCAAGGAAGTCAGGAACTTCTAGGTCTTCCACACTGGTGCAGAGGCCCAAACACTGTGGACATCCTCTGCTGCCTTCCAGGCACATGAGCGGGGAGTTGGATTGAAGTGGAGCAGCCAGGACTCCAATGGGCACCCAAAATGAGATGCCACCTCTGTGGATAGTGGTTTACCTGCTATGCCACACAGCTGGTCCCAATAATTTCTTCTATTTTTTATGATTTTTAAGAGTTTATATAAAAATAAAGTGAACAGATTTCATTTATTTCATAGGTATGTTCTAAGAAAATAATCCTGCTTCCCTCACTCCCCATTCTCAATCTTCTTTCATTCCTTTTTGTTACTCTTCAATTTTTGCAGACATAACTTTAGTTCATTCTGTAACCACAGGTTTAATTCACCACTAACCAGTGAAGAAGCAGGAAGACTGGAGTACAACCACGGGCCACAACAGTAGTCCTATCACAGGGAATTGCTCATTCCTACACGTTGTTTGTTTGTTTTGTTTTCTATATGAACTGCCACATGACAGAGAACACGTGTTTGTCATTTTGTGCCTGGTTTATTTCACTAAGCACATTGACGCTAGGATAATGAGACTTACATTAAAAACCTGGCCCATATTATTATATAAATTTAATTTATCATTACCTTTACACAATTGACTGATGTCCTCAGGTAGAGTTAAGTCAGCACATCTCAGAGAAGATGAAAAGAGCCCGGCAGGTTTGACAAAAGGGGTGTATAATGGCAACACTTCACTGAACACTTCGTCCTTCATTAATTCAGCCGGAGTGGGCCTTGAGAAACACGTGTAAGATACAGTTTATATGTGACACTTACAATGTTTCTAGAATAATGGTACACATTCAAGGGTAAAGTTATGTCTTAAGCACCTCTTTAGCACAGAAAATAATAATGCTGTATACAGAAGTCTCTATAAAACAGCCAATTGCAAGAAATACCAAGTTTTTTTTTATCATATTCCTTTGTACTCCTTGACCTACCAAACATCATTCTGTAACAGCTCTTATATCTTTTACTTATATCCTGACTAGCATACATTTACACTGTGCAATCTCATAAATATGTAAATTGATACCTTTTATGGTTCCTTACTACCCTTTAATGTGGGATATGTTCATCCAAAACTATGACTTTTAATGCCATTACATTATTTAGTGTCTTGATAAAGCTGTCTTTTCTATATTAGAATATATCATTTTATTTTTCTGAAAGATTTATTTTATTTATTTTAAAGGTAGAATTATAAGAGCGAGATCTTCCCATTCCTTGGTTCATTTCTTGGTTGGCCACAATGGTCAGGGTTGGGTCAGAAAAAATGTCAAGAGCTAGAAGTGTGTTCCAGGTCTCACACATGGGGACGCAGGGACCCAAGCACTTGAGTCAGCCCAGCTCTTCCATGCCTTTGGCAGGGAGGTGGGTTAGAACTGAAGCAACCAAGATTCAAAGTGCCATCCATAGGGATGCTGGCACCCAAGGGTGCTGGTTTCACCTTCTGTGCCACAATGTGCCATATTATTTTTAGACATTATATATTCAAGAAATTTAGGGAATATCTTTATGGCTCAAAGTCACATCATTAAAATAAAGCAAATGAATAAAACCTCAAAGAAATTTTTATCAGTATTTTTAAATTTGCCTTACCATTTATGCTGAAGTACATATTGTTAGTAAACTTTTGTTTTCATTTTTATCATAGTATCTTTGAATCAAGGAATGTCTACCCTTGCTAGGCTAGCTGCTTTCGACGCCAAGGCTGGAAAGTAATGTAGCAAATGTTTTTGGCCCGTTCATTTTCTGACCATGGTTTAATTATTTAATACTTTATTAACAAAATTTAAAATCTTAAATTACTCATGATACAGATGTGAATTATGTACTGCTACATATGTAAACATCTTTGACATGTATTACAATAATAAACAGAATCAACATATGAATTATCTCAATGTAGCTTAAACCCTCAATAAAACCAACCTCTTGGAAGGATGGAAGGTAAGGCACTTTTTTAAGAGATCTATCACATTTTCAGGAAGCTCCTGGTAAATGAAAAGAGAAACATTGTTTAAATGACCCACTTAAAAATACACTTCATGCAGATGCTTGTTACTCTGGCAGATTTTGATTTTACAAAAATCCTTTAATTTAATTTAAATTTGAAATAATTTGTTGCTCTGTAAAAGCAAATACCTAAAGAGGAATGAGGATAGCTTTCAGGTAACATGCTATTTGATCACAAATATGTAAAATAAAGCAGACTTTCAATAAGAAGCCAAAGTTTAAATGGGTAGTTTCCAAAATATTGATGTTCAAATTTAAGGGCATTCAGTAACTTTTTCCTGCATGGAAGGGTGTAAGCCCCTTGTTCAAAGGCTTCATTTAGCATCTTTCCAGATGCTCAGTGAGGACACAGCATTCCTTTCAACCACTATGTACTTCTTACCAGAAAGCCAAGGCTACCATTATTTTGTTCTTGGACTTGCTGTCCTCCAGAAATGTGAGAAAATATATCTTTATCCTACCAATAATTAGTTTAACACATTTTGATGGGCAAAAAACATATGAAGTAAGATACAGAAAAACAAACCTTTATAATGTCCAGACAACCATGCTCTTCAGCCAGAACTGTTACAGTGTCATCTACACAATCTATAAAACAGAAAAAACTATAGGAATGAATAACTTAGTGGTGTATTAAACTAATCAGAAAACAAATTGTGACCAAAAATTTTTTAAATGATGCAGTACAGTTTGGGAACTTGGACACTTGGGACTTTGTTAACACCCCTTAGCTGTTTGGATAAAAAGGAAGAACCTCAAACACAAAATATTAATCGAATCATAGAAACCGACAGTAGCTTAAGTAGTAAGATTAAGAGCTTTTTCTCTGCCTGGTTCACTCTCAAAATGGCCACAATGGCTAGGCTGAGCCAAGCTGAAGCAGGAGTCAGGAAATATGGCTGGCTCTCCTACACAGGTCATAGGCCCAAGGCCTTGGCCCATCCTGCACTGCTTTTCCAGGCATGTTAGCAGCAAGCTGGACCAAAAGTGCAGCACCTGGGTCTCAAATAGGCACTAGTAAGGGACATTGGAACCACAGACAACAGATGAGCCTGCTATGCCAGCCTCTCAAACTTATCTTTTTTAGTTCTATTTTCCACAAGGTTTCTGAAGTACTGTTGTGTGTATGTGTGTGTAATTTTTAAAGAAGGCTTTAATATCTTTTCATGATTATAAGACTACTTTTATTAAATGCAATTTGAACAATGTGAACACATTCTCTAGCAATTTAAAATGTAACTTAACCCCCTACATACATTTAGGAATATTTAATTCTCCTTACTAGCTATTTCAAACTTTGTAATTAAATGTGATAAGTCTGATAAAACTGTGTACAATTCTTTTTGGAATTTAGTATTATTTAATGTTTATCTGAACCTTTTTGTTCATAATCAATCAGAAACTCTCTTTATGTGTACATTAATGTGTCATTGCTCTACAGAAAGTACTCTGTTGCTATTTTTCTCCCGTTATTATCACATTTATACTCACTGATATATAAATTTTGATTACTTTTAATAGCAGATGTTTCTATCTTTAGATATAGAAAAATATACAAATGTGTTCTAAGAAAAAAAATAAACATTCACTTTGTGTTGTTACCCATATATGATTTATTGCAAATGAAAAACAATCTAAAGTTAAGGTGTATCATTTGAAGGTAAGCTGCTACGGAGAAGTACAGTTTCATATTTCATGCTCTTTCTAATTACTTTTACTTTGCTAAATCATGAAGTTAAGCTTATTTTCATTCAGGTTAAAATCAAGGAGTAAAGGAAACAAATTTTGTTGCAATATTTTGAAAGGCATTTCCTTAGCCATCCTTTTAATGCTCACAAATGATCTTCAGAAATGAAAAAAGTTAAGATATTTCACAATTTCACATTTCAATGTCCATGATCACTAAAGTTACTAATGATTATATTTACACTTGCAAGATAATCAGTTATATGACACTTACCCAGAGATAGTACAAACTTTAGCCTTTCAGAAATATCAAAGCTCTGAAATACTTTTCTTCCCTAAATAAAATGGAAAAAGAAATTTTTACTATTTGAAGTCTTTTCTTTTTCACAACTAATTTTTTTTTCTCCTTAGCCAACTCTTTCATATACTTTAGTTTACCTCCGGAAGTGCTGCTGGATCTTTAATGCCAGCTCCAGTAAAGAAAAATTATTGATGAATAATATTTAGTATATAATCGAGGATCACTGCATTTTAGTCTGATATCACACTTCACTCGGTTTTGAGATGCACACATGGTTGGATACCTGGAGGTATCCTCGGCCACCAGGACTTTATTTCATTAAGACACAAAACGCCTCCTGGGCAGGAGCTGTATCACCCTTTCATCTTCCCAACCAACTACTCTCTACATATCACGATCCAGACAATCTGTCGTCTGCACTGAGAAACATTTCATAATACTCCTTCCCATTAAAACTTCAGACAGATATCCTTTGTGTTTCTATGGTATTGCTTTATTTTTAAAGCTGTACCTTATAACCGTTGCCTTATTAGTTTGTTTCAACGGCTGCTTGGCATACAGTCCATAGTCAAACACACTCCCAACAAATAGGTATGGAACAATGATTGTTTGCCAAGTTGGCTTCTTCTGCACCAACTTGGGAAATTACTTAGCCACCTCAAATCTGGTCTTCATTCATAAAGCTGGGCTATTAAGAATGCTGACTGTACAGCTTGAGGTAAGGGTCACCCATTTAGTTAAATATGAACATCTGAATTGCTTACTATTCAACTACCCTGTGAGAACACAAACACACAATAGAGATAACTACATTACCATCAATGCATTGGATACACACTTGCCTATTCTTCAACTTGGGTTATCCCAATTAACAGTATTATTTTTGTTGTTCTACCAATATTCTGTGTATATTTTATTTCACCATCATAAATGCCAAACTTCAGGAGCTCCAGAATTCAAAGATTCAAAATTATTTTCTCTTCTTTCTATTGCTTATACACTGCTAAATATTGTCATTTTAATTTTCATTCTTCATAATACAATGTCTTTTTTTCTCACTGCTAAGTTTTAAGATTTTATATTTAAAATCAATAAATACAATAGGTTTTCCCAAGGATGGCTTTCCCTGTAGGTAAGAGCGCGTACCCACTATTATGCTACCTAGGGTGCTTATCCTCTCTGTGCTCAATTTCCTTATCTGCAGAGAGAATCCCATCAACTTTATAAGGCTAATGTCACAATTGGAATAACAGGCATAGAGAATAGAGAAAGCCTTCTGCCTCTTGGCAAATGCTTAATACATACTTATTACCTATTAATTTCATTAGTGACTGCTTGCTAAATTTACTGTAACATTTCCAAGTATTTGTATTCTTTCTCTTTGTATGTTTTTATGCTTCATATTTCAAAGTCAGTTCATCTAACTGGAGACTTTTACTCTCTTTGGCATTTCTGTAACATAGATTTTTTTTTTAGGACTTTTGAATTTAACTTCTTTGTTCCTTAAAGTTTATGTTGTCAATTTCTTTATCTCACTGTGGCAAATTCTGGGAGAAGTAATTTGTTAAATCTACTCCTAATTTGCCCAGTTTCCTTTGACTCATCCAGTAGGCTCCTTATTTTAATAAGTAGATTTTTTTTAAAGAGCTCAGCAGAAGCCTAACCTTTTTTTAAAAAAAGATTTATTTTATTTTTATTGGAAAAGCGGATATACAGAGAGGAGAGACAGAGAGGAAGATCTTCTGTCCAGTGATCACTCCCCAGTCGGCTGCAACAGCTGGAGCTGAGCCAATCTGAAGCCAGGAGCCTCTTTTGGGTCTCCCACGTGGGTGCAGGGTCCCAAGGCTTTGGGCCGTCCTCGACTGCTTTCCCAGGCCACAGGCAGGGAGCAGGATGGGAAGCGGGGCTGCTGGGATTAGAACGGCGCCCATATGGGATCCCGGGTGTGCAAGGCGAGGACCTTAACCACTGAGCCATCGTGCCGGGCCCTATGGATTTCTTTTCTTAAAACTTGAACTCTTGATACATTAACTTCTCTTGCTTCATGTCATCTATAATTGCTCCATGAATGGAACGGTTTCCCTCAGATTATAAATAACATATTTATTATAAAGTCCTTCTAGTGGTGTCAATTATACAAAGTGTTCCTTTAAGAAAATGCTTATTTATTTTACAAACAGGAAGGAAACAGAGACCTTCCATCCCTTGGTTCACTCCCTAAATGATCCGAAGATGGAAGCCAGCATCCTTCCCGCTCTCACACCTGTGTGCAGAGTCCAAGAAGCTGGTCCATCCTCCACTGCTTTTCCAGGCCCTTAGCAGAGAGTTGTATCAGAGGTGGAGCAGCTGTGGACACAAACCCAGACCCATATGGGATGCCAGAGCCATAGCTGGAAGATTAGTTTGATGTGTCACTAAGCCAGCCCTTGTTTAGATGTCTGCTATTTCTTAAATACGCACAGATCTTTTCAACTCCATGTTTTGGAATGTGGAATCTTACACTGACAGAGTGGCTGTACTGACTCTGGAGATGGCAAGTGCCAGATTCAAAGGATATCTGACGCAGGTCCTAAAAAGCATACAAACAATTCAAATCTTACAGGAAATATAAGAAAAAGGGAGAGGTAAAGGTGTTTAAGAAGGAAAGAACACCTGAGGACAGAGAATCATGAATATATATAAACATGTGCACATACATACAATATATGTACACGTGTGCACAAATTATAAGCAATCTTAGTGTGAGTATTCCTGAAGTTGTTTCTAATCAGGAAAAGTATATTTTTACATGTGTTAAAATGTAAACGTTCCTACATACCTGGATAATATTTATACTTAGCAAATTTTATACTTATTGAAAGTATAAACATTTCTAGAGCTATCATATGCAAATTATAATTAAACAGGATTTTTAATAAGTCAAACAGAGAATTAAGCCCTTCCCCATCTTACCAATTTCCATAGCACAAAGGTATTACTAAAGAACAATCAGTCATCTCTAAAAAGAACATGCTAGAAACACATATTTTAACAATATTTCCTTATACATACCACGCAAAGCTCAAATAAAATGATTCCAAGAGACCACACATCTGATTTGGGGCCAGAAGGCAATGGTTTTTCACTTGGCACATGATCAGTTGTTTTAGAAATTCCTTGTGCAATCACCTCTGGTGCCAAGTATGATGGATACCTACATGGAGGGGTATATTAAAATCAGGAATAATTACTATAAACTTCAATGGAGAAAGTAGTAGTATGGCATTTTTATTATCAGTATTGTAAGATCTATGTAACTGTTCCATTTAATTAGCAATAGTTGTGAGGGAAATTTTTAAACTAATCATCCAAATGCAGGCCTTTACATCTAGGCATGAAGTGTTAATATGCTTGAGTTTCAAAAAGTTTCAAAACCATTACATGTCTCTAACAGTAGTAATTCCTTTGTTTTCTCTTTTCAACTTCTTGCCTTTTTTGTAGTCATTCCCATGTTTTCCCCCTTCTCTAACTGCCTTTCATCTCTCTCTCTTCTTTCTTTTTTCCAGGATCATTTATTTGAAAGTCAGAGAGAGATCTTCTATCCTTTGGTTTTCTCCCCTAATGGTCCAGTGGCCAGGGCTAAGCCAGGCTCAAACCAGGAGTTTTATACAAGTCTCTTGTGTGGCTGGCAGGTGCTCAGGCACTTGGACCATCTTCCACTTCTCTCCCAGGTACAACAGTAGGGAGCTGAATTGGAGGCAGCGCAGCATGGACTGAAACGTGCCATGCTGAATGCAGGCACTGCAGGTGACACCTTACAGGTTATGCCTCAATGCCAGCCCCTATCTTATCTTTTCTCAACTCTCAATTATTATTTACAGTACGCTTTCTTGGGGACAATATGCATTTCTGGCAACCCATAAGAAGCTAATTACTGTCCTAGCCACTCACTCCTAATCCAGCTCCCTACTAAGAGCATGGAAAAAAAAGGCCAAAGAGCTTGGGACCCTGCTTGGGCCCGCATGAAAGACCTAGAAGAAGCCCCTCAATCCTAGCTTTGGCCGTGCCCAGCCTCGCCCTAATGCTGCAGCCATCTGGAGAGCAAACCAGCTGATGGGTAATCTCTGTCTCCCACTCTCTCTGCCCCCGCCCCTTTTAAAAAGATTTATTTATTTTCATTGGAAAGGCAGATATATAGAGAGGAGGAGAGACAGAGAGGAAGATCTTGCATCTGACGGTTCACTCCCCAAGTGGCTGCAACGGCTGGAACTCAGCCAATCCAAAGCCAGGAGCCAGGATCTCTTCCAGGTCTCCCACGTGGGTGCAGGGTCTCAAGGCTTTGCAATGCTGCACAAAATACTATGTATGGTAAAAATGTGAGCACACAGACACCCTCATGCATTGCTGGTGAGAGTACAAATTAAATGGATACAGCTCCTCCAGGGGACAACTTGGTGTGACATAACAAATGTCAACAACTTATGTGCATATAACAAGACTTCTAAGACATTATCTTCATGTGTGCATGTGTTTGATGGGAATGAAATATTTATGTTCATTTCAGCACTGTTTCTACTAGCAAATAAATGGAATTCCTAAAATATCCTTTGGCCATTTGATCTAATAAAACTAAATGTGTTATCAACACGATGAAATTATTGACATTTTTCTGTACTTAAACAATAACATGTAAAATAACCATCAAGTGAAAAGCAAATGATCAAGAGCAGAGTATTTTCTACCGGGAGGGAACAGGGGATTGTCAGTTGACAGGCAAACAGAAATAGGATAGACACTTCATCTGCATAGTTTTACAGCTCTGAATTCCTGCTGTTCTGTGAATACTGTTTTGAGAGATAACGCATACTTTTAAAAAAACAGATTTATTTATTTAAAAGGGCCAGAGAGGGCCCAGTGCAATAGCGTCACAGTTAAAGTCATTGCCATACATGCGTCGGGATCCCATACGGGCGCTGGTTCTAATCCTGGCAGCTTCGCTTTCCATCCAGATCCCTGCTTTTGGCCTGGGAAAGCAGTTGAAGATGGCCCAAAGTCTTGGGACCCTGCATCTGCAGGGGAGACCTGGAAGAGGCTCCTGGCTTCGGATTGGCTCAGCTCCAGCCACTTGGGGAGTGAACCACCAAACGGAAGATCTTTCTGTCTCTCCTTCCTCTCTGCATATTTGACTTTCCAATAAATTAAAGGGTAGCTGTGGCTAGTCATTGGTGGATCTGGGCCTTCCTGGCCTTTGCCACAGGTCATGAGGAAATAGCACACTGAGACCCCGCTCTGACCTGCTGGCTGACAGGTGGGACAGCTACACATCCCGTTTTCCTCTGCGTGCAGTGGGGAAATGAGGGAACCAACTAGGGGCTGCTGTGGTCAGCTCTGCCATGCAGACTGCTCTTTTCAGGAAGGACTGTATACAACTGACCTTCAAGTTGATTGGTGGCCATGGGGCTGGGGCGGGGCACAGAGGGGGGTCCTGGATATATGGTTGAATAATAAGGGAAAAAGAAAGATGTCTTCCTGTGGGGTACATCTGGTACCTTCTTGTTGGGTTAGCTGACAGCCCACAGAAGTGTTCTGAACTGCACTCAATCTGATTGGAGGATGAGATTGTGGCAGCACAATAGCATGCTGGCCAAGTTCTTGCCTTGCATTTGCTGGGATCCCATATCGGCACTGGTTCATGTCCTGGCTGCTCCACTTCCCGCCCAACTCCCTGTTTGTAGCCAAGCAGGCAGCAGAGGCAGCCCAAAGCCTTGGGACCATGCACACACATGGGAGACCTGGAAGAATCTCCTGGCCTTGGATCGACTCAGTTCTGGCCACTGCGGCCACTTGTGGAGTGAACCAGCAGATGGAACATCTTTCTGTCTCTCCTTTTCATAAATCAGACTTTCCAATCAAAATAAATAAATCTTTAAAACAAACAAACAAACACACAAAAACCTGACTTCAGCAGCGCGGTGCAATGGCTCCTGGAGTGCACCTGGAGCTGCTGTCACCAAGCTTGGACAATGAAGACTCCTCCTAACATCCTACACTTGAGTCCGGTGTGATCTCTCCTGCACTCTGCAACATCTTGAGGAACCTGTACACATGCTTCCGCATGCTCTCTGCTTCCTGCTAGGGATCACAGAGAACACACTCCTCCCCAGGCAACAAAGACACAGCAAGATTTATGTTCATTTATGTTCGTTACGGAAAAGCAGCCCATTAAAACGTCACTGTAAGGAATCGGTGTTTGGCCCACAGTGCTGCTTATGGTATCAATTTATGAATAAGAAGTTCTTCAAATTTTGAAAATGAGTGTGTAAAATCTCTAGAAACAGTTTTAGTGGAAGAAGTCCTGGGCTTAATGCTATAATGTCTTTGTTTTTTAATTTCAGTTTTATCACTTTATATGTGCTTTGAGTACTTTCATTTATTAAAGAATAATAACAACGACTGAAGCTTTAGAAAATGGAAGATCTGTTTTTGTCATCATCACTATGATTTACCTGAAAAACTATCTTTTTCTGTTTTTCAGTACATCTAATCTAAAAATAACAGTATAGGCAATAAAATGAAGTAAAATTTATGGGTTAATTTTTCTATCAAAAACTCCTGACAGAAATACAGAGGCAGCCCTTGCTTCAAAATCTCCTAGTTTCCTTTTCAGCAAAGAAAAATTAATAAAAAACAGTAAGTCTTGGACTTGTTCTTGATGTACGTAATTCTTTTAAACATCCTTCCCTTTTTTAGCATAGCATTTTTAACACTCAAAGACAATTACCAGAACTTTGCTATGAGTATGACTCGTGAGATAAATATAAATGGCTTTCATCATCTGTTTGATGTTTTAACAAGGTATTAAGCTACTGGCCAACTGAAAGGAATGTCCAATTTCTAACTCTTTACACTATTCTGAAACACATGGTAACATTTTACTTTGTTGTTCCTTAATATTTGTCTTTTGAATCAACTGCATGCTTCTCCTGGTGTAAATATTTCCTTTTATGCCATAGCTGTTTGATCACTTTATTTTTCCTGGATAATATTTCACATTTTGTCTTTGATACTTTCTGGTTAGACCCGTTGGATCTAAGACTTCAAAGTAAGCCAGACCAAATGGTAAAACAAGATCAATTTATCCATCCATTTTAAACTCAAGTGTAGATCTTCAAACTGCTCAATATACTTAAAGAAAAATACCCTCTTTCTTCATTCATCACTAAAGCACCTTCAAGTAAAAGAAAAAAAAAGTTTGGTTTAAATTATGTTTTTGCAATTTTCTCTTAGACAAAGTGATTTAGAAAGAAGGAAGACGCTTGACTGAACAACTTGCGTGGGGACGCAGTTAGGACACAGCCCGGCATGCTGGCGTCCGGCTCAGGTACCTGCCAGAGTCCTGCTTCCACCTGAGCTGCAGTCTTGCTAATGCATGATCTGAGAGCCAGCAGGGGACAGATCAAATGGCAGGACCACTGTCACCCACATGGATTACCTGGCTGGCATTAAGGACACCTGGCTTCCGCTTGCCCCAGCTCTGGCTACCGACATCACTCTTGGAAGAACCCAGCAGTAAGAAGAGCTCTGTTTACTTAATAAAATGAGCAGAGGGTGAAATTTTACTGTATTCTTGGGGTTTTTAAAATAAGAAATTACAGGCTGTTCTAACCCAATGCCATTCTTACTCTTACGAAAAACTGAGTTTTGCCCATCACTGGAAAAGCTGTAAGATTATGAATTTATGTGTGCAAAACAGTAAATTTTCCAAATCAGAAATGAGCTTCAGAACAGGAACAAATTTTTTAAAACATATGCATCACACAGAAAAGTGCTTACCGAGTGTTTCTTCATTGAATGCAACTTAAGATTATACATAACTAATAAAAACTTTTAGGTAGGAAGTAATCTACAATCTGAATTTTTAAGATAGAATGGGAGTGCGTGGGCCTACCATGGTAGCCTAGTGGCTAAAGTCCTCGCCTTGCAAGCACTGGGTTCCCATATGGGCACTGGTTCGTGTTCCAGCTGCTACACTTCCCATCCAGCTCCCTGCTTGTGACCTGGGAAAGCAGTTGAGGATGGCCCAAAGCCTTTGGACCCTGCACCAGGTGAGAGACCCAGAAGAAGTTCCTGGCTCCTGGCTTTGGTTCCAGCTGTTGTGGCTACCAGGGAAGTGAAATTAGCAGATAGAAGATCTTCTTGTCTGTCTGTCCTCTTCTCTGTATATCTGACTGTATATATTTAAAAATAACACACACTTCAAGTTCTGGAATAGCAGTGTCCAGTGAGTACAAACAATGTTAAACCCAGAAGACGGGTTTTTCAATGTGTGCACCATAAAGAAACGTTAAATATCAAGAAAATATATATGCTTATCCTCTCTGGGACATTACAGAGTGTATACCATACATGATAAAATTACATGGTAGCAATAAATATGTATAATTTTTATCTGTATGGTAACAATTTTTTTAGGTAAATATTTTAAATGCAAAAACATAGATCAGAATTTTACAAAAACGTGATTAAGTCTTCTGGGATGGGGATGAGAATTTTAATTTCTTCATTACGATAATTATTGTGCGATAATGTGAGAAAACACTTTAGGATACAAACTGAAGCATTTAAGAATAAATGGTTATAATGTGTGTAAGTAATTCTGCAAAAAATTATCATACAGGTTTGCAATATAGTCACTGAGAAAAAATAAGGCAAAAGTTAAAAAACCCTAACTTCTGGAAGTCTGAAAAGAAGACAGGGATTCTTTGTACTTTTCTGGGTAACTTTTATATATCCCGAACAATGTTAGATTAAATATTCAGAGAAGAATTATAGGAATTATATTATGGAAATGTTTATAAGTGACAAGAATTAAACACCATGTCAATATCAAAATCATCTTTTGAGTACAGCATGAAATACCCCCTTCTTTTTTTTTTGGTAATTAATTATCTATTTTTGAAAGGCAGAGTGACAGAGAGCAAGAGCGACAGACAGAGATCTTTCGGCCCCTGGTTCATTGCTAAGATGCTCACAGAAGCTGCGGCTGGACCAAGCAGAAGTCAGGAGCCCAAAATTTCATTCAGGCTTACATAGGAGTGGCAGGGACGGAAACAGCATTGCTGCGGCCTCCCAGGCCCATTAGCAAGAAGCTGAGCTGGAACTCAGGTAGCCAGGATGCCCGACGGAGGTGCGAGCCTCCTAAGCAGCAGCCCACCCAGCAGAACCACAAATCCTGCTCCCAACCTCCTTTCCTTTCCAGGAGGGCAAGGAATATATGGAATTCCATATGAGAAATGATTCAGTAGATGCCTGTGGACTCACACAAGTATTTCTAACTACGGAATTTCTTTGAACGATATTCACAAGTTGAATCTTAATATGTGACATTGCCTTAAAGAACTGGGAGTTAAACATAAAGCACGTAATCAAAAATAATGTAAAGGCGCTGCTTTTCAGTCTGTTTATTACACATACATTATCATTAATGTAGTATCTGATTACATTTCTTGCCTTAAATCAATTTAATTCTAATGAAATACAGTTTATAAAGTATTAGGAGGTTTAAATACTGGCAGGGAGACCAATAATCTGTTGGCCTGTCAATTCAATCAAAGATTCATAACAGAAGAAACTCACTGCGTACTCTTTAAAAAGATTACAAAATGAAGGACAGAATTCAACACAGATGAAAACCTTACCCGATTGGAAAATCAACATCGTCCCCATGAGCTGTCATATGATAAAGTCCAAATTTAGCCAATTTAATATGTCCCTATGACAGAAAAAAGAGAAATCACAATAAATGTATATCTGATGAGAAAAAACTATCATATTTAAAAAGTAGGGTAACTGTTATATACTCAGATACAATATTTTATTAAAATACCAGTATGTAAAATTTTCTAAAATACCATGGTTTTCGGAAAAATCTGCAATACTAAGTCTGATTTACATTCACTACAAGTATAAACATGTAAATGTGTAAGCATATACATACATTCTATATACATAAAACTACATTCTTTTCTTTATTAGAAAAGTGCTATTCATGTGGGAGACAGGAATATGGGGGGAGAAAGAGATGAAGAACCTGACAGGGTGTCCCCTGGCCTCCCCAGGACGGCAGGCCTCGTCCGCTTCAGTCACCAAGGCTGACTCCCAGGATCTGCATTAGCAGAAAGCTGAATTTTGGAGCTGGAGTCAGGCGTGCTGAACCAGACAATACGATGTGACACATGAGTTCTCTTTTATAAAATATTTATTTGAAAGGCAGAGTTAAGACAGAGAGAAAGGAGGAAGAGAGGGAGAGGCTTTCCATTCACTGGTTCACTTCCCCAGGTAGCCCAATGGCCTCGCGCAGCCCTGCAGCCAGGAGCCCCAATCTTCTGAGTTATCCAGGTGAGTGCAGGGGAACAAACTCTTGAGCCATTTCCCACTACTTTCCCAGGAACGTCAGAGGGGAGTGGGCCTGGAAAAGGAGCAGTCATCATCCATACAGGATACTGTTACTGTCCAATCACCCAACTGGGAAACCAGCACTGCTGGCAGTAGCTTAGCTTGCTATTCCACAGTGCCACGTGAACATTTCTAACCAATGTCTTAAATGCTAGGCTAAATACCTAATTTAACAGATCGCATTTTTCTTCAAAAATTTCCATGTATATTATCTAGGTTTTTGGCAATGTAAAGGGGTAGATATGTTTTGTTAGTTCCATACCCCTGATTAGAAATGTTTTGGGAAAGCTTTTAGGCAGAAATGTTTTTCAAGAATTTTTTAAGTCCAATAAAAATGTAACTGAAGTGTGACATGGAGTTCTCAAGGTCAAAAGATAAGTGAAAAATTTATCAAGATTTTTGAAAGCCTGCTAGGTTCCTAATAATTTTTATATACTTTGAGATTAATAGTAATTATTATAAATTTGGGGCTATTAATAAAAGTTAAATATAAGTTACTTCAGATTTTCCTATTTTAGCTATTTAAGGCTTTAAAACAGTAAGTCAGTTTTAAAGTGAAGTTGTCTTCAGCTCAACAACTTTATATCAGTATTATGAACCAATTCTACTTCGCTTCAAATAAATTTAGACTGGTTACGAAATGATAGCTCACTGCTATAAACCTGAAATTATTAAGCTCAGTTACTCTTTGTGACTTTTTTAATACCATGGGGTAACTACAGTGAATATTAAAAGACTCAAAGAAGAAACAGAATTCTACTAAGAGATCCCCCACCAAAACTTTAAAAAATGATAGCATGGCTACTTCTAAAAATATACAATCTATTTATACACTTCAAAGAAACTCTATCCTCTTCTTAATCCTACAGGAAATTTCCAGGCAGAGAAACAGTATGCCCATAGCACAGGGGGCTGTCAAATCAGATAACGAGAAGAGGAAAGACAGGAGAATGAAGAGGGAAACACAGACGCAGCTGTCCCTCGGACAGTGATGCTCTTTGCAAACAGAGCAGATTTCTTAAAACGAGAGCACGAGAGCACACTCAGAGGTTGGGAAGCCAGAGGCACACGCTTCAGGACAAAAAAGAGCAGAACAGAGAAGCAGAAAGTGAAGTTAGAAAATGAGTATAAAATCAGTCTTTCTTAAGAACAGTCCAGGTGACAGATTCTAAATGATTAAATATTCTTACTGTTTTCCACAATAATATCAAGTATATAATTTTCACACATGCATTTCATTATGAACATGTTTAAATTGCTTTATTATTCTTATTGTTCCTCTGATAAATTAAATGAGCCCAATTTCAACAGCTTTCAATTTCAAGCAACATACAAATGTTTATTATATTATTTGACAATTACCTTTTGGTCCAACAGGATATTATGCGGAGACAGTGCTCGGTGGACAATACCATGTTTGTTCATGTACTGCAAGCCCTGAAGAACTTCAAATGCAATGCACAAAACCTTTGAACAGCTGGGGAAAAAAAGTCCAAGATACAGTAAAAAATACAGAATCTTAAAGAGTGAAAAGCAGTCTAATAAAAACATCCAGAATTGCACTTCCATTACACTTTGCCACTGACAGCAGAATGTGTATGTATTTTCTAAACTACCCACCTACAGTTTTCAAATTTCTGAAAGCAACAGAATTTATCTTTCAAAACATCTTACAGGTTTCTAAAAGCAATTATAATACAAAATAGAACACAGAAAATTAGGATTTTAATGCAGATATATATCAATAATTATATAAATATTAATGATCTATGCTCGTAAGCTTTGCCAGGGACTGAGGGAAGGGCAGGGAGGGTACACGGTGCGGGAGTACCAGGACACTCGTGGGACAAGGAACTGACTTAGTTTCTCATATTTATTGAATATGCGTTATACAAGGTGATTTTAAAGTATGTAAACTGTGCCTCAAGAAACCCAAGTTTAAGAACTACTGAGCTGAATTAAATTTATCTGAAAAAGTTACTGTAAATTAACCCCCGTCCTTTAAATTGAAGCCATAAGAAGTAAACAGAGATGGCAAGTCAATGTCTCCTCTCGTCCCCGTGGCCTGACTTTGCAGACACGTCATCCGTGCCAGCAGCCGTCTGCAGCTCATCAGGAAGCCAGAATTCTATTTAACACAATTAACTCCTCGCTACACAAAATGATGTAAATAATTTTTAGTCTTTCCATTCTACTTCTACAATCTCTGATTTTTTTTCATTATGTTGTTTTCACAGGATCACATTTTATATATGAACTAAAAGAAATGCATGGTCCTTTCTTGAAGACTAAATAACTGTATGATACGCAGCGATTCAGTGCTGAGGAAACACAAAAGCAGGCAAGGGAAGAGCAGGACCTGAAACGGCAGGCCAGTCCTCAGTGGCCAGTGTACCCACTGCTCCAGAGTACACGCAGGAAGTCAGCTGAGGCTAGAGCAGCAGGAGCTCTTCCGTGTAAGACCTTTCACTCCACAGTACGGAGAAAAAAGAAATGACCGTCACATTACCCTACGAGGATGAATAAATGCTAGGATTTTGCGTAAAACCATAGTTAACACTGACAAAAATACGCACATGATAAAAATGTAAACTTCTAATTCCTTAAAAATAAAGACAAGCCTGCTTTGAAAGTAATTATATAAACACAGAAACTATCATTATACCTTCTTTGGCTCCATAAGTGAACTTTAAAATAATAATAACTTTAATTTCTTGGGCTCTAGCTCTCTGTGTGTCCCTCACACAACCATAGCTGCTGCTGGCCCCCGTTCTCCCGTCTCCACAAAAATCTTAGATATAGTTGCCATACTCAGCTGTGACACTAGGGGGCGTCAGCTACCTATTCCTTCAATATAAACATTTCTGTCAAGGAAAGCCAAAACTTTAGAGGGTTTTTTGTTTTGTTTTTTGGCTTTTTTCCCATTATACCCTGCTCCAAAACTGCCAAACGCAGAAGAATGCACGTTTTGCTTTCAACACTGTGCTTTTTCTAATTTATTGTAAGATACTGGACATGAAACTTACATGTCAAAAAACACAGCCATGTTAAAAACAAGCTGCTGAAAAGTGTACACACCAAAATAAATTTTAAAAATTTAAACACATCAGGACAGTAGAAACTATTCCATATACTTTTCTTTTTTAAGGTTTATTTATTTACTTGAAAGTCAGAGAGAAAGAGACAGAGAGATCTTCCAACCAGTTGAAAAGCCAAATGGCTGCCAAGGCCAGGTTTGGGAGGTGGACCCAGGGGTCTGGAGCTGCTTCTGGATCTGCCACGTGCGTCCGGGGCCTAGGCACTTGAAACATCTTTTGCCGCTTTCCGAGGAAAGTTGATAGGAGCCAGAACAGAAGCCGGCACTCGGCTGGGATGCTGGGGCCACAAGTAGCAGTTTCACCACTAACAGACTTAGTACTCTGAAGTTTAAATGATACAGTAAATCAAACTTTCTTCTCTATTATCTTATACTCTAAGGTTTACTCTAAAAACTTGATTTAAAATATAAGACATAAGAAAAAAAATTAAATAATGCTATTTCAAATACTGAGCAGGAAGAATCAGTATTTGTGGAATTTTATGTACTCCTTTTTAAGCTGTATTCCTTAATATTTTCCAAGTATTTTTACCACGAAACACAACTTCCATGTGAGAATTATGGTTATCGTGTTAATAGTGAGACCCAACTGCTAACCCGGAAAATGTAAATTGTATTTCAAATCAGAAAATATTCTCTTTTTTTATTCTCTTCCTTTTGAAGTGCCCCATTTGTATTGTTATTCCGGAAACCAGGCAGGTAGCATTTTCTCTGTCATCTCTGCTCCTAACAAATGCATTTAAGAAATCTGTATGGTGCCAAACTGTGCCTGGAAAATATGTACTATGAAAAAACTGCCTGTATTTCAAATGTCCTTGATGCCAAAATAAAGCTGTTTATAATTTCAATTTTCTAATAATTTTTTAAAGTCTCCTTTTACAGGGTCACAGAAAAGTAGCTCTCCAAACAGCCTGATACGTTTGAGAATTTCTCATACTGCCAGCTGATAAGGCGACATATTTATTTATGTTCAAACACATTGCTAGATGCATCGCCTGCTAGTCTAAGCTGCACGCTTAGGCCTGTGGATTTCAAGAGGAACAGGAAGAACTTTTCTCCACAATGAATACTACTGTGTAGTTGGAAAGATGGATTTATTCCTCCTTTTTGTCTTAAAAAAATTTTATTTATGACACTGCTAAAACTAAATAAGCCTAAGACACCACAAATACTAAGAAAAAAATTAAAGATTAGAAATACACTCTACATAGAAATATAGATTTCAGGCATTAATCAGCTGACATATTTGGATTTTGAACATGGCTTAAGAAGAATTTTCAAATCTCCTAGGTTATACAATCTTAAATGATCTGCTTAACATTTTCCAAATCAATTCTAAAGAAACTTACTGTATGCTTCTGCAACAATTATCCCCAAAGCATACAGAACTGTTGGTTAAAACATTGAGGTTGTCATCAAGCAGGAACTATCCGCATGGATTATCTGACTTCACATGATCACGTCAATCAAATCCCAGTGAATATTCCCAAGCATACTGTTCAACTTGTATTTACTTAAGATATGCAGTTGTTCAACTACAACCTGCTATATTTCTCTATTTCTTATTCTTAACCTCAGGAGCTTGAGGTTTCTGTTTTATAATGTTCTGCTATAGTGAGCACCTTTCTAATATTTTTCTGTATTTTACATCTGTTTCAGCATTTGGGCAGCAGCTTTAACAACTACGCTACAACACCAACCCTAAGAATTAATTTTCTTGAAAGATGTATTTTTATTTGAAAGGCCGATTTTACAGAGAGGAGACATGCGCGCACACACACACACACAGAAAAAGAGCGAAAAAAGAGAAAGAGTGAATACGAATGAATCTTCCATCTTCTGGCTCACTCCTTTAATGACCTTAATGGCCAGGGCTGAGCTTCTTCCAGGTCTCCCAGGTGAGTGCAGGGGCCCAAGAATCTGAGCCATCCTCTGCTACATTCCCAGTCCATACACAGGGAGTTGCATCAGAAATGGGGCAGCTGGTACTAGCCTATAGGATGCCAGTGTTGCAAGCAGAGGAATAGCCTCCACTGTGCCAGCCCCAGAATGATTGATTTTATGGTAATTATTTCTATGTAAGTTTCTCCCATTGTACATTGAGTTCAAGTGCTAATTAATTCAACTATGATGTTCTATGCCTCCCACAGGGGCTATAACATAGGTATTCATAAAGTATGTTTCACGAAGCCTTAGGTGTATAAAGCAATATTGTACAATATTACAAGAGGATAATTGGATTAAATCTGTTACTGTTAAAGAAATAGCAATTCAAAATAAATACATTATCATTAGAGCAATACATAAAGAGTGCTAACTTCATTTCAATGGGACAACGTACATGGCTAAACATAAATTGTTCAAAATCATATAGTTTTTATCCATAGATACTACTCATTGGCTGAAAAATCTCCTCCTGATCTTATACAGAACAAATTGGGATGCATGGCCAGAGAGCTCTAGGGTTTTGGTTGTTTGAATTGCTGCTTAGGTAGATCTAGGTTAAACCCACTGTGCTTTTAGGACGTGAACAATCGTAAAGATCCCCAATGACAGTAACTCTTCCTTTGAAAAACTTGTAATCACTGAACAATGCTGACCACCAAATACCAGTCCATGCAAAAGCTATGGCTCAGGGCTTGTCCAGCAGAATCATATAATGTTGCCTGACATGATGATGGATCAACAGACGGGTCAGATTAGGCAGGACCATTACATTAACTAGCAATCAAGAACCATAACTGGGGGAAGATTCTGTGAGGGATGTGTGGGCTAAACCCTGTGGAAATTCTAGCCCCAATGATTAGCTCAAGAGATGGGGTGGTGAGGGACTAAGCTAGGTGTGACCAACGAGCCTGCCATCAATCACATGTAAAGGAACCCTCAACAGTTTGGATTGGTCAGGGCAGCAGCACCCAAAATGTGCATCCTGAATAGGGTGTGGGGTGGGCCGGGCCGCAACGTTCACCAGCTCATACAAGGCCAAATGGAAGGCCAGAGTTTGCTGGAACCAGGCCTAAACCCAATGGCATGTATGAGAACTGGGTCTGGGAGTGGATTAAGTGGACGAACTTGGGAAACTCCCTTGGCGAATGATAGCTCCAGCTGGTGAACATGTGGTCCAGACCTGAGGGTCGGACAAATTGGGAAAAGTAGCTCCAACAGCTGGCTAATGTGTCAATTGATAATGGAACAGGGTAGATCAGGCAGGACTGAGCAAACCTTAATCCACAAGCAAAACTAGAGACCAGGACGGAGCACAGGTCATGCCGAGCTAGGCTCTTGTACCTACTGGTCTGCATGAGCCAGGAACAATAAGCCACAATGTCTAAGGCAGAGGTCGGGACAGCTGAGGTACTGAACCAAGCTGAGTCAGAGCA